TATTGGTTATGCTGTAAGATTACGCGAGCTCTGCCAGACTATAACATGGCCTTCATGCGAGCAGCGATCGATTGAAATGTTGTGTAACTTTTCATGTTATGTAAGTAATATTTGGATTAAAAGAGTTAACATATCATAATCTCATGTCATCAGTTCGTGATTACCTTTTATTCCAAAAGTGGTATTCCAGGAATTGGCGCATAACCAGTATTTGTTTCCATCTTCTTCACCCCATCCTAGTATTCTTATTGCATGGCCTCCGATTTGTCCACCAGATGCGTGAAAATATACTCCTTCAAAAAAGTCAATAATTTCCATCTGGCAACTATAATAAACTGTACATTACCTTTCTTGTAGTAGTAGAAATCATTGTAAACGGTGAACGCTGATGTAATCGGTCCGTTCTCAAAAATGTCTTGCATTGCACTGGCCTCTGATTTTAATGCATATGCTCCGCTTCCTGAATCTCGTCGAAATTAATAACGTTACTGAAGAAAGCTGGCTTCTCTCACCATAGTACATGGAATCTTGAAAAGATTTTTTCCATCCACGAATACAGGTTCTCTTGCAGGCCGGTGTGTTGTAATCCTGGTAGGCGTTTGGAGGTATCGAGTATGGCTGGCAACCGTTTTTTGAGCCATAGATTCCTCCACTTACAATTCCCGTTTTTTCGAAATCGAATGCACCTCCCATCCAGCCTCCATTACAACTAAACGACAAATAATTTGCGTATTTATCTTCGTTATATTACGATATTCGTGCAACGCATTTATGTAGATATTTACCTCAATTTTTACAATATTTGACATTCGGGAAGAGCTGAATTCAATTTGTTTTTCTAAACGATTAATGGAAAGAAATTGTCAGAATATTCTTACCTTTTATAGGACGAAACCAACTTGCAAATACTGTTTGGAAATAGTGGCAATATTCAATTGTGAATTTTGAATGGATTTGCAGGGGTAATGTTCTCTCGGCATATGAGGGTAACGGAGAATAGCACGGGAGTCTTTATGCGTGAAATTAATTGAATTTTTGAATAAGTCCATAATTAATAATTACACGTTTTACAGTCTTCTATACCAAAGATTGCGTTTGCCAGTGCTCTCTCTTCCGCTACGAGGCCTCAGACTTGCTGGGAAACGGTTTGAGATGGTGATCCCGTGAAGTGAATGCTGTGCCTTTATTTGGTCGCCACACTGGGTCAACCAGGAGTGTTAAGTTATAAAGTCTTAAATTTTGCAAGCCCTAAAGTTTGGCTTTCCTAGAGGTTTGCCCTTGCGTCCTCTAAGGGAGACTGTATAAATATTCAGAAAAAATGATGGGAGACGTGTCCCTTAAGAATATCACCAGAAACCGAATTTCCTTGCAGTGACGTCACGCAGTTAACACCCTGTCGCGATGTCTCTCACCGGAAAATCAAGGAAACTAGATGAAACGTGCGAACATCTCATGTTTCCCTTATACCCTTCGATGATTACAACTTTAAATCGCTCCTTCGTTACCATGAACGTTATATCAGTCATTTGGATGCAGTAAAATGTTATTTTTTACATATGGTTAGGTTTAATTATTCGGGATTTGGAGAGGTAATTTTCTCTCGGCATAGGAGGATAACGTAGAATAGCACGGCACTCTTTATGCGTGAAATTTATTGAATTTTTGAATAAGTCCGTAATTAATAATTGGACGTTTTACTGCCTTCTTTGCCAAATATAGGGTTGGCGACTGCTACCGCCGACGTTATGAGTGCTGAGCCTGTCCCAGAAACGATTTGAGATGGTGATTGCGTGTAAGGAAAGCTGAGCGTCCTGCAGGTAGCCACACTGGTTCAATGAGTGTCAACTCATTGATACTTAAATTTAGCAAGCACTAACGTCAGGATTTCCTATTCATATGATCCTATATTCTCTTAAGGAGAACGTGGAAATATTCGAAGTAAAACGATGGGATACGTGTCCGTTAAAAATATCACCAACAAACCGAATTTCCGAGAGGTAACGTCATGCAGTTGACACTCTATCGCGATGATTCTTAGAGGAAAATAAGCACCATCTATGACACGTGAAAACGTCTTATTTTTAGAAGACTTTGTCACCATGCTGATCATTCGAAAATGTTTGTCCAACGACGGTATAATTATAAACTGATTCAACTTAATCTGGTGTGCGATCTGATATAGTAAGTCTTGATTCTATAAAGACACCGTTGTGACTCGTCTTGACGTAGGAGACAAACCACGACGTCTCAGTAAGTCTTGTACAAGACTAGTCAATTTGTTCACTGTCTGATCGAATCGAAGAAAGAGGAAGAGTAATTTTTAACGACACTGTCGTCAATGTAGTCGAAACCAATTTGATCCTGGTTCTCTGTTTCCTTTTACTTTGCCCTGTGCTTTGTTCAGGTTTCGGTAACTTATCATGGGCGTCAGAGCTAACTATACAAATTTCACTGAAAAACCAGATTTCTGGATGGCTGAGTGGCACACTGAAATGTAAAAGACAACAAAATTCACGTGGTAACCCTGTTATTGCGAAAGTACGCCTGAGCTTTAAAGTAGAACGAACGTCTTCAGCTGGCAGGCGAAGATTGCTTGAGCAACCTCTCGCATTGATTAGAAACAAATCTGACGGTTCTACTATAAGTTAGTTAATCTTATCTAACTTGTATATCTATGCGAAATAAGCCGAAAGACCTTCATGAGGGTTAGAGAGGAAAAACAAACAAATCAAACGATCCTCATCAGGACAACTGAAGAAGAAGACTAAAGAACTCCAGCAAGCTCGATGAGGGCCAATGAAACGAAGCCGTGGGGCACACACTCAGCATATTTCTGACGATGGTCTGAAGCGTTTCCTTCGCAAAATGGGAATATGTCTCAAGGATGTTATAAGAAAGCAAGATTGACATCGTCATTCAATAGACGCACATCAGAGATTACTGCAATACAGCCAGATTTAAAACTGGTCCCTTTGACATGGTCGCCAATTCATTTGACTCCATTCACGGTCATTGCGCCTATGAAGGATCTATTGGGCAGAAACAGCTGCGAAATCTCATCGGGGAATACACAGAGGACCGAAATGGTCTCCAACTCACTACAGTAACCGTCAGAAGAATCGTTCAAGTGAAAATGTATAGGCATCCATGAACCAATTAGCCAACACCGCCATTACCAAAGATGCCTTACCCAACTGTTTATACGGACGACTTTGAGAGCCACCACACCGCAATCGGTTACACCTTGAACATCTGACCAACTGGGCCTCAGTAGCTGGTGTGTACTTGTGCCACGATGCTAAACAGCAGGGTACTTTCAGACGAGCAAGTTGGAGATTGTCCAAAAATCGAACCTTTGCTTCATCTCCATAGACAGTAGTGCCATTCCGATTCACTGGATGTGGGATAGTGCTCGTATTCCTTCTAAAAGGAGAGCACCGCCCTACTAAGCTCCAAATCTTTGCGGAGGGACCGCAAATTCAGGGTACTCCACTACCTCGGTAAAACTGCTGAATAGCAAAGTGGTCATGGTACACTTCCCAAGTCGAGGATGGTATTCAACAGTTCTTGCTTGTACCCCAGGCATTTGGCATTCTTCCCTCGTGGAATCCGGAGGACCTTCACCCCTTGCTGGTTTCAAGAGACAGAAGAACTTAACATGGAGCACCAACACGGGGAATCTCCTGAAAGTGCAGCTCGTTTGGTTGACTCACTGAATTCATAGTGGCAGAGACGATTCTGGAAGACTGTGGAAACGCTGTATTTCACACATTCCAGTCGTAAGGCATGGGCTTTGCTTCCGTTGACGCAGCAAAACCGACAAAGCATCAGGTGGCAAAATTCTCCGGTGATGCCATTGTTTCTCACCTTCTCCATAAGTTTAAAACGCGGACAAATAATGCTGTCCGCAAGATGATGCAGAAAGAATAATTTCTTGTCCTTGAAAGCGGCCCTGAAACAAGCGCTCCACGAAGCCAATACAGAAGTCAAGAATCATTTTTGGCACCTTAGGAAAGAAGGGTGATGTCGTGGATGAAATTTCCCGGAATTTCTTTGGACCTAGCCTTAAGGGCTAACAGTGTCTGGCCTTTCTTTTTACTGAGATCCAAACAACCTGAATTATTTCCTCGATCAAACTCGTCGCCCTGTTGAAGCCAGCAAGATCTCCAGAGAAGCTATGCTCCTACAGGCCCATCAGATGGAAACTGATGGAGTAGACTTTGCTGAAGCGGCTTTCTGCTGTAAATGAGGCCGTTCTCCCAGAGGAACAAGCTGGCTTTCGAACTGCATGCAGGGTTTGCGAGCGACTGCGTTCAATTATTAGCTTTGTTTAGGTAGTATTGGAACGGAAACAAAAAAACCGGGGTGGTTTCGAATAACCTATAATCGGTTTATCATATGGTCTGGCGAGATTGTCTCATGTTAAAAGTCTTTGGAATAGTCTGTTGCCAAAAGACTCCTCTCCTTACCTTAGCCATGATCAGCGACCGTCGATAACGAGTCCTCATCGATGGCTGGATCAGCAAAGAAAAGATCCTTAACAAGAGACTCCCACAGGGTGGTGCGTTTTCTCCATCACTGTCTAGCAGCCATGCGAGGAATCTCCAAAAAAAGCCGCTGAGGGAGTTCGTTTCTATCTAGAAATCGAACATACGAACTTGCAGATGGGAACGTGCATACTCACGTCTTAACTCGCTGTCATAACCCAATAGTTTCACCAAAGGAAGCTACACGCTAACCCGAAGAAGATCTGCGCGACTGTATTGCACCTGGACAATCGACTGGTCAAGGATAAACTCACAACTAACCCATGGTCCAAAAACACACCCAAACGCAGTAGTTACCAATTCTGGCCATATTGCACGGCTCTGATTTCCGGAGGATGGATCAGATGTAACGCATTTTCCAGAGTGTTGATCAGATTCGCCTGTTACCCATTCACCGTGTTCGCCAAGAGCCGCAGGCAGGACGCCTGAAATCACGTCGCCTTCCATGGCAACGGGCAACGACAGCGCATCTGAGTCTCGAGGAACCTCGGGCGGCAGAGTGGGACGCTACAGCAGTCCTTAAGAAGGACTCAACCTCCATCCCGACCGCACAATCCCCTGGCATGGACTTGAATCCTCAAAAATGGTCGAGATTGAACACGATTCGAACAGGAGAAGGACACTGTGGACTCCTACTCCATCTCTGGAGGATGAATTTCAACCGGCATTCTGACTTCGGTCATAAAGACCATAGGATGCAGCACATTATTTCCGATTGTCCGCTGCAAAAGTTCGAAGGCGCATAACTGATCTCCAGAATCCTACTACGGTGGCCATTTACTGGTTAAGAAATCTTGACTTTGAACTATGAAGTTGCTGGTCATCGCCTCCAGCCATACGACAAAAGAACACTCACCGAAGACAGATATTTCGAGACACGGTTAGAGTGTGATTAGCGATCTGTAATTATAGAACGGTCACCTTCCAGCAGTCCAGCCTGAATCTTCCTAGGTAGAGGGCGTGCAGGCTAGCGTTTCTGTTCGAGACCAATCTTAATGCATCTGGCGATTTAATAGGAAATTAGGGCACTGGCAGCCACGTACAAGATGCGTAGTGCATGTGTCATGATTGACTTAACGTTTGTTCTAACTGGCAATCAAGGAGGAAACATGGATCAAAATTTGTCTATGGAAGCACAAAACTTTAAAACAGTCATGATCATGCACTGATTTCACCTCATTATTGAATGTTTCATAATGGTGCAAGACAATGGTCTCATAGATATCATCAACAAACGCAAGAACACTAATTTAATCCACTTTCTTTCTTAATGAAATATGGCCTCTCGAATATAAATATGAGTTTTCCGTTATACTATGCACATTTTGCCAATAATCTTCTCTGAAACAATGGTGTTCATCAGTCTCAAGCTGTCACAGAAAAGGACGCGTAGGCAAGACTATCATGAATGACTGTAGAATTCTGATTTATGAATTAATTATTGATTCCCATATATAAAGCTTTAAACGGGCGGCTTTCGTCGCATCTCAGCAACACTTCTTACCCATATCCACACGTTTCGCCGCAGCACGACAGCAGGTATTCATCTGATATGTATGGTTGGTCCTTTCCTTTGGTTAGGACGCATTGTCGATCCGACATTACTGAAGCTGACGAAACAGCCTATGGCAAAAGAATCAATTTATTAGTTATCAT